ACTGTGCAGTTTCTTCTGCTCTGATACTCAGATACGAGCTTCAGTGGAGATTCGACAATTGAAGCGACTATGGTTTCTGCTGCTGCGCTCAGTCATGTTGACGCCAAGGCTGCCCCTGCTGACGCTAATAAAGCCACGCTCATAAATGTGGAAGCCATCTAGCTCGGCCACATACAATGTACACGAACACAACCGAAGCGCTTCTAAAGTGCAGGAAAAGCTGTTGCTGCTGCCGCTTGGTTGAGAAGACGAAAGCAAATCAGGTATATAGCTGCACAACACATACGGTACATGTGGTTGGTAGGGGTGGCCTGTTTGCTGAGCCGAAGGATGAAGGGAAGGGAAGGGATTGTAGCGATGGTAGGTTGATTTTAATTGGGCTAAAAATAGGGTTACTTTCATAAGTTACTCCATGTGTTGCCCGCATTAGTGTAGCATCGAGAGACGAATGGGTCTAGTGCTGGGGTGTACCAAGCTCCTAATTTCTTTGCTGTGTGGTCTGGCAGAGCGCGGGGAAACATGCCAATTCATCCCTAAACATTGTCTATCTGATTCTTCAATTCCGGCCACCATCTTCTTGTGGCTCAGTTTTCCGCAACTAGACACAGAGTGGCACTGCACTACGAGTTATCTACAAGGGGATATGCGTTTTCAATCAAACAGTGGGGATGAAAGTGGGGTTGCACGTTTAAAAAACAAAACAGTGGGGATGAAGTATTCACTCGCTTCCCCTCGCCCAAATGACGCTGGGCCTGCGACATCCGGCGAAGAAGCCCATCCCACACATCTGTCCTCTTAACGCACAACTCCGTTTGAGTTGCTTTCGGATTTTTTGCTCAACCAATTTATATTTACATATAAAAAATAATAAGTCTCTAAGCACATGCTTTTACAAGCATCGTATCGTAATGTAAAATCGTTCGAATCCCCAGATCCCAATATGGTCTCACGCCCGTTGTTGGACCACATTGCACCCCTATTGCAGTCGTACCCATGGTAAAAACCCTAAAACTGAACTCAGAAGCTGCCCCCTGGCCCTTTGAACGCCAACGAAGCTTGTCCGCTCCCTCAATCCGTCACCATTCTTCCTGTCATGACGTTTGTCAGAGTAGGAAGCATTGCAGGTGTCTCTCCTCGAATTCACAGGCTTTGACGGTATGGCACACGAACTGGCATCGCATCTTGTCGCTTTCAGCGCGTCGTCCGACGTGAAGTCGCCTCCCGCCATGTGCATTAATCTCCGGTTGTGCTCCGCATATCGTTGCTGCGCCTCGACAAGCTCAAGCGCGGCATGGCGAATTCGCGACCGTGCGTCTTCCACCCACTCGGGGTCGCAGGCGCGAGCGGCGTCGGCGCGGGAAAAGGCGTCTGGCGTGGCCTGAAGAGCATCACGTGGATCGGTGCTCCAAAACCGAAACGAGCCTCTTACGTCGTCTTCATCGTCAAAGATTTCGTAGTGTTCGGGGCCTGTAACGGGGACAACAATCTCATTGCCGGTTCGTCGAACGTCAGTCGCGGAAACGCATCTGCGAACGAGCCATTTATCGGCTTCCATGATGACAGTGTAGCAGCACGCAGAAGAAATGAAGTCACCAACAAAGATGGAAGGCAGAAGAAATGAAGTGTGCTTCGACACTCGTACAACTAGTGGAAACTCGTACAACTAGTGCACTCCGAAAGCTGGCTGTCAGTGAATGTCTGAAGCGTAGAATTTGTGGTTTCATGAACGCGGAATTCATTAACGAGGAAAGCTACCGCCAAAAGACACGGTCGAGCAGCATTTGAGGGACCAGACTGGACCGAAACTGAGGTGGCAATGGCAACACTACTGATGCTCTCTATGCTGCAGTCTGCATTGACTCAGTCAGAAAGAACCAACGGGGAAATGAAACCATACTGGGGGGGAAGAGCTGGAGGCACTGTGGGGGGGGATTTGCGAGAGGAGCAGCAGTGCGGTGGGGAGGAGGGGGGTGGTGGGTAGGGGAGGGGGGAGTGAGAGCGGAGCGGAGGGAACGCAAGGAGGTAGGCGAGGCGAGGCGAGTCAAATGAAATGAATGTTGCGCCAAGGGGGCAAGCTCAGTTAGGAGAGGTGCAACGAATGAGGTGAGGAGGGGGTGGCGACGGGGCGGCGGGAGGGAGGGCTATTGGTCTAGCTTAGGGGAAAGGGCCAAGAGTACACCTCGGAGCCAATTGTGTTACAGGAAGCGGATGTTGGATGAGGATTGGCTGAATGAAAGCTGAAGTTCAGGGCGGATTCGTTCATATGTCGGCTGAACGCGATGCGCGGGGAGGGCTGGTTCAAAACAGTTGACGAAAGTGAGCGGGGCGAGGCGAGACGAACGAACCATTGGACCACTGGCCCAACACCACGCAAGCCGCATGAATCGAATTTCACATCACACCGCATTTCGGTTCAGCATCAGCCACCCATACATGGTTGACGACGGAACCACACCAAACCACACCAAACGACACCACACCACATCACACACAGCATGCTGCTCCTGTCTGTGAAATGTTTCCTATCTAGACGGGTATGTTATGTGTGGTTGACCAGATTCAGCCGAAACGTTTCACTGTTTTACCAAAGGGTTGGGATTTACAATCGAGGCCTCTGATTAGCTGTCGCTAGGACCGTCAACATGAAGTTCATTTTCCTGATTTCGATTGGCCGTTTGACTGGAACTGATCAGCAAAGGCCCACCAGAAATCAAGCACCCAACAAGGTGCATTGAATGCCTTTAATGACGTTACTGTATCTTGCTGTGTTTTGTCTGGTACGTGGAAGTAACACCATGTCGGCTGACTTGTTAGAAACAACAAGTTGGAGGCAGGGCTGTCGCTTGCAGGGCGTTTGCCCTGCTGGACCTTGAATTCCAGGGCTGGGTTGCCCTTGAAAGCTGAAATTGATGGGTTGGAAATATTCTGGCCCTGATTCTTTACAGGGCTGATTTTGGGCTTAGGCCTGGTGTGTAAAGGGTATATTTTAGGCGAGCCCTGGAACAAAATCATTCGATCCCCCCTTTCCCCCTCCTCCCCCCCCCCCCAACACTCCTCCACTCCAGGCCTGTCGATTCAAGGGCATATGCCCTTAATGCCCTGAACATTCCGGGCTACTTTCGCTCCAGCTCGACTGCCAAAAGTGTTAGATTCGCACTGCACCCGTGCCACTAAGTGCCTCGCTCGACCCTTCCCCGGATGCGTTAAGGGCCCAAACTAGGCCTTCCCCTGTCTCAAAGTTTTGGTTTCTGGTTGTAGGACCCCCCCCCCCCCCCAAATTCTGCCTGACCCCACCCCCCCTTTCTCCTAAGGTTGCACGAGAGGAGTGTTTTTTTTCCCTTAGCGTTTTCTAGCCAATCCTGTGTTTGTAAAGTGTCTAAGTCAGCTTAAAGCACCCGAATTTTCCCTTAGCGTCTAAGTGTCCCCCCCCCCCACTTTCCTCCTTGGGTTACACGAGAGGAGTGGATTTTCCCTTAGCGTTTTCTAGCCAATCCTGTGTTTGTAAAGTGTCTAAGCTAGCTTGGAGCACCCGAATTTCCCCTTAACGTCTGAGTGTCCCCCCCCCCCCCCCTTTTCCTTAGGTTGCACGAGAGGAGTGGATTTTTCCCTTAACGTTTTCTAGCCATCCCGTGTTTGTTAAGTGATTAAGTCAGCTTTGGAGCACCCAAATTTTTCCTTAGCGTTAAGTGCAAACTCTTCACAGGCCCGGATTTTAAGTTTTCACTTTGGGGTGCGCCCGTGACCGTTAAGGGCGCCCAAACGCTCAGTTACACCAAAAACAGGGTCAGATGGGGAGGAGTTGGGGAGCGCAAGTATGGGTCCCAGGAACTTCGACAGGCCTGCTCCACTCTCCTCTCCCCGTCGTTTCTAACCTGAATGCATCCAACCTGGCAAATTTCGAGTTGCGTGGTTGGGCCAAAATTCAACTCAACCTAGAGCTTGTGCTTGAGCTAATCATAGCTCGCTCTCTGTGGAGTGGGTAGAAGTGCACAAGAACTACCCTGTGGTGGAGTGGGAAGAAGTGCACAAGATCATCAGTTCTGCAAAGGCTAGGAAGCCCGCAAAGCGTGCGTAGTGATTTGACGCTAACTAATTCTCTGTCGATTTTGCTTGTTGTGGTTCATCTCAGACGTAGTTGTTAGCTTGGTAGTTGAAATGAGGCTCCAAATTTTTTCGCGCCAAACCAGATTCAAGGGAGAAATAAATTCCAGCCCTGAAGCCTAAAGGGCCGAGATTCGCCCCAACCCTGCTAAATGCAGGGTCATACATGCCGGGCCCCCTGATTTGTCCAGGGGGGCCAAAACGAAACGACAGGCCTGGTTGGAGGGCACTGAAGGTTTCGTTAATTCATGGCATCCATAATTGTACTGCTTACTTTAACTTGTGAAGCTTACAATCTCTTATTTAATCGGGAAGACGATATGTGGAGCAACGTGTTGTTATAACACATGTATCAGGCTCATGGTAGAAATATTCCAAGGAGAAGGATGAAAGGGAGCCAAGAGTACCCTGGAGAGAGAATAAATGCAAGCGGGCCAAATGCACCCACCATGAATCGGCATTGCTGCATGCACAAAGCAACAAAAGCAGCCTTAGTACTGTATTACGAAAAGTAATGATTGGACAATGAGTTGTTTTGTAGGAGCCAGAGGGCACCAACCATGCATGAACAATGCAAATAGGTGAAGGAGAGCAATAAATCTGTAGACGGATTGTCAATGCGTTGTAGAATGCATGGAGGGCATGGCACCATGCGCCCACCACCATGCGCCTCGCGTGGCGGGCTGCGCCCACCAAGAACCCCCCGCACACCCAACTTCCCCCCTATGTCCCAAAAAGACTGAAAAAACTGACTCAAACTCACCCCTCCCCCCAGCAAAAAACGACCATCACAGACCCCGTGAAACCATCTCAGACTCACCCGGAGGTACACAAGGAAGGGCAGAGGGGCAGCAGCAGCCACCACCTGCCATGCTCTGATGGGCGACCCACTCCCCATTTCACTGCTGCCTCCTGTCCCCCCTGCCCTCCTGCCCAGAACCTGCAGAGCTCAAACCTCTCCCACATAACCCAATAAACCGACTCAGACTCACCCGGAGGTACACGAGGGTGGGCAGAGGGGCAGCAGCAGCCACGAGTGCAAGCGCAGCCACCACCTGCCATGCCCTGATGGGCCACACACACCCCATGCTCCAGCACTGCCTCCTGTCCCCCCTTCCCTCATGCCCAGAACCTGCAGAGCTCAAACCTCCCCCACAGAACCCGATAAACCGACTCAGACTCACCCGGAGATACACGAGGAAGGGCAGAGGGGCCGCAGCAGCCACGAGTGCAAGCACTACCACCACCTGCCATGCTCGGATGGGCGACCCACAACCCATACCCCACTGCTGCCCCCTCGTCCCCCTCCCCTCCCACCAAGACCCTCCCCCACACCTCATGTCCCTCTGCTGCCACCTCCTCCTGTCCCTCCTGCCCTTGCCGGCAGCTGTAAAGGGTGAAGAGGGATCAGGAGATGGAGCGGCAGCAGAAGCAGCAGCAGCAGCAGAAGGAGGAGAACGAGGAGGAGGGGACCGGAGCCGGACTGCGTCGGATGATGATGCAAGCCCTCCGTTTGACCCCCTTCGCCGCAGCGCCTTCACCCCGTCGGCTCCTTCACTCCCACTGCTACAGCCGCTACAGCTGCTACTGCTGCTACTTCTGATAATGATGCCGTCAGCAGAGGCTGTAGCAGCAGCTGTAGCGGCCGCAGCAGCTGTAGCAGCTGCAGTGGCTGCTACAACCTCTGCAGGTAAATCCACGCCTGTCCTATCCTCATCACCCTCTCTTCCCCATCCACCTGCCTTTCCTGCTGCTCCCCCTTGCCCGTCCCCTCCCCGTCCCACCAATGCTTGCCTCTCCTCCTCCTCCTCCTCCTCCCCACCCCTCGCCCCCTCCCTTCCAAACACCACCCTCCCATCTCTCCCCTCCTCCTCTCTCTCTCCTTCTCTCCCCGTTTGCTTTGAAAAAGCCAGTTTCACCCAGCCAACGAGAGTGTGTGGGCCGCAGGGTGAGAGGAGGGCGGATCGGAGAAAGAGGAGGAGGGGGAGTACGAGAAACGCGGGGAGAGTGACAAAGACCAGAAAGGGCTCCACTGTTGTCACTATGTCTGGAACAGCGAGGTTGGATGTGAGAGGAGAGTTGGAGAGAGACGGAAAGGAGGAGGTGGAGGAGGAGGAGGAAGAGGAGGAGGGAGGGGGGATGGGCTCGCAGGGGGGAACAGCCCAGCCGTAGATCGAGAGAGATCCGACGGCGCAGGCCGGCCCGAGAGGGCGAGCCCAGAACCAGGGGAAGATGGAGAGGTAGAGGAGGAGGAGCAGGGAGAGGGGCCAGGCGGAGGTGTAGGAAGCAGCGAGGAAGATGTGTAACAAGAGACGTAGGAGGGCGAGGAGAGCGGAGGGGAGGGATTTTACGAGAGTGAGAAGAGAGGAGGAGATGGTTTGTAAAGAAAAGGTTGAGGGGGGGTGGTAGGGTGGAGGAGAAGGAGAGGGGGAGGTAAAGTGGGAGGTGGAATGGGGGGGTTGTCTGACTGTGGCTGGAGTGGTGGAAGGAGAGTGAGAGGAGGGCGCATGAGTGGCGTGATTGGTGTGAGAAGAGTGAGAAGAGTGAGAAGAGGGAGGGGAGTAGAAGGAGGGAGAGAACTGGGAAGAGGGAGGGGGGATGAGGTATGACAAGGCCCGAGAGCCAAGAAGTATGAGGGCGAGGAAGAGGAGAGGAGAGGCAATAGCAAACACCCAGAGGTCCTCCCAGTCCGTTCCCATAATGGTGCGCTCCAGCCACGTGTGCTGGAATGGTACAGGGCAGTTGAATGCGGTGAAGGGCTGTGGAGGAGACGTGTATATTGATACACCCCTCGCTGCTGCAGCTGCTGCAGCACCCAACAATGTCTCTTCAGCAGATGCAGCAGAAGCATCATGGGGAGGAGGAAGAGGAGGGGTGTGGTATGAAACCCGGACGGCAAGCCACAGGCGGGAGGAGGGAGAGAAGGGCGGACGAGCGTATCTCGACGCGTCCCACGCCGCCCAGAAGAGCGGAGACGGCCGGCGATTTCCGTCCTCTTCATTCCCTCCCGTCTCCGCTTCCTCCCGACCCTGCTCCTCCTCACCCTCCGGTCCCTCCCTCGTTAAAACCACTTCTTCTACTATCTCCATTTCAATCTCCTTTCCACTCCCCATGCTGCTACCAGCGCTACTGGCCTCTCTCAACCCCTCTGCACCGCTCTCCCCTCTAAGCTCCACTCGCACTCCTTGCACGCTGCTCCCCTTGCCGCCCACGCCAAACATGCCGCCCAGGATGCCGCCCAGGATGCCGCCTGGCTCCCGCTCGCGATATACAATGGCAGACACGTTCAGGATGGGCGGGAGGGAGAAGACGAGGGCCCGAATCTCACCCCCCGCCACCCACGCTGCCACCTGCTCTCCCTCTCCCTCTCCCACTCCTGCTCCCGCGCTCTTGGGCTGTGATGGTGGCAGGAAGTGAGCGTTTGGGGGGCATGTGAGCAGCACCACTGGCTGCCGTGCCAGCAGCATGGGGCCTGCCAGGGGTAGAGGGGTGAAAAGACAACGGCAGGGACGTTGAGGATGGGTGGGGGGAGAAGGCGAGGGCTCGAATCTCACCCCCCGCCACCCACGCTGCCACCTGCTCTCTCTCTCCCCCTCCCTCTTCTGCTCCCGCGCTCTTGGGCTGTGATTGAGGCAGGAAGTGAGCGTTGGGCGGGCATGTGAGCAGCACCACTGGTTGCTGGCCAGCAGCATGGGGCCTGGGGTGACAGGGCAGAAGAGAGGAGAGGGTGGGGCAGAAGAGAGTAGAGGGTGGGGCAGAAGAGAGTAGAGGGTGGGGCAGAAGAGAGTAGAGGGTGGGGCAGAAGAGAGTAGAGGGTGGAGGGTACGAGTTAGAAAGGGGTGGGAGTGTGTGTTGGGCGGGCACGTGAGCAGCACCACTGGTTACCGTGCCAGCAGCATGGGGCCTGCCAAGGGTAAAAGGGTGAAAAGACAACGGCAGACACGTTCAGGATGGGCGGAAGGGAGAAGACAAGCGCTCTGATCTCACACCCCCCGCCACCCACGCTGCCACCTGCTCTCCCTCTCCCTCTCCCACTCCTGCTCCCGCGCTCTTGGGCTGTGATGGTGGCAGGAAGTGTGCGTTGGGCGGGCATGTGAGCAGCACCACTGGTTGCCGTGCCAGCACCATGGGGCCTGCCAGGGGTAGAGGGGTGAAAAGACAACGGCAGGGACGTTGAGGATGGCTTGGGGGAGAAGACGAGGGCCAGGATCTCACCCCCCGTCACCCACGCTGCCACCTGCTCTCCCTCTCCCCTCCCTGTCCCTGTCCCTCTCCCGCGCTCTTGGGCTGTGATGGTGGCAGGAAGTGTGCGTTGGGCGGGCATGTGAGCAGCACCACTGGCTGCCGTGCAAACAGCACGGGACCTGAGGTGACAGGGGCAGTAGAGAGTAGGGGTTGGGGGTGATAGTTGAAAATTGGTGGAAGTGTGGGTTGGGGGGGGGCATGCAAGCAGCACCATTGGCTGACGTGCCAGCAGCATGGGGCCTGCCAAGGGTAAAAGGGTCAAAGGGGCTGGGGTTTTGGGGGCACGAGAGTGGCTTTAAGAAATAACCACGTGATAAACTAATATTTATGAGGCGCCTCAAAAGTACTCATTTATCACGATTTGAGACGTCTCAAACATACTCTTTCATCATGTTTTGAGAGACGTCTCAAACATACTCTTTCATCATGTTTTGAGAGACGTCTCAAACATACTCTTTCATCATGTTTTGAGAGACGTCTCAAACATACTCTTTCATCATGTTTTGAGAGACGTCTCAAACATACTCTTTCATCATGTTTTGAGAGACGTCTCAAACATACTCTTTCATCATGTTTTGAGAGACGTCTCAAACATACTCTTTCATCATGTTTTGAGAGACGTCTCAAACATACTCTTTCATCATGTTTTGAGAGACGTCTCAAACATACTCTTTCATCATGTTTTGAGAGACGTCTCAAACATACTCTTTCATCATGTTTTGAGAGACGTCTCAAACATACTCTTTCATCAGAGGGAATGGGGGTTTGGGGCACGAGAGTCGCTTCAATAAGTAAACATGGGGTGGGGGGCATGTGACCAGCACCACCACTGCTTGCCGTGCCACAGCATGGGGCCTGAGGTCACAGGGCGAGGAGTGGAGACCAAGGGACACGGAAGTGGGCTTTAAGAGCTGGAGAGCATGATCGGCAGCGTCTGAGAGTGGGACTCAGCAGCTCTGCAGGTATGTGAACTGCATGCCAGACACCGGGTCATGGGCCATGATGCGAAGGGAACCACTCAGGGCAGCACATCCGCAGGTTTGACAATCACTGAAGCGCCTTACCCGGCGTGAGAGGGTCTGCAGCATCAGGGGCGAGAGTGTTCCTCAATAGCTGGAAGGAAGTCGGTGAACTGCATGCATGCCAGACACCGGGTCATGGGCCATGATGCGAAGCGAACCACTCCTCACCTGGCGTGACGGGGTCTGCCGTGTTTGGGGCGAGAGTGGGACTCAATAGCTGCAAGTCGGTGAACTGCATGCATGCCAGACACCGGGTCATGGGCCATGATGCGAAGCGAACCACTCCTCACCTGGCGTGACGGGGTCTGCCGTGTTTGGGGCGAGAGTGGGACTCAATAGCTGCAAGTCGGTGAACTGCATGCATGCCAGACACCGGGTCATGGGCCATGATGCGAAGCGAACCACTCCTCACCTGGCGTGACGGGGTCTGCCGTGTTTGGGGCGAGAGTGGGACTCAATAGCTGCAAGTCGGTGAACTGCATGCATGCCAGACACCGGGTCATGGGCCATGATGCGAATCGAATCACTCAGGGCAACATCTATGCAGGTGTGGCTGGCACTCGCTGCCTCTTCTCACCCGGTGTGACGGGCTCTCCCGTGTTTGGGGCGAGAGTGGGACTCAATAGCTGAAAGTCGGTGAACTGCAAGCCAGTCACCGGGTCATGGGCCATGATGCGAATCACTCTGCTGCTGCGCCAGTCACCCACCTCCCACTCCCACAACCCCTCTCCACCGCTCTCCACTCCTGCTCCACCACCACTTGCTACTCCTTCCCTTCCAGGCCCCCCCACCTCCTCTGCACTGCGTCTTTCTTCCCCACTCTCTGTCCTTTCTCCGCCTGCCCTTCCACCCAGCTGCCGCCCCCTCCTATCCTCCCCCTCCCCCTCGCTTTTCCCTCCACCTCTCACGGCGTGCCACCTGTACAAGTGCTGCCCGAACGTCCAGTGCAGATGCCCATTCACGAGCGCCATACGATTCGCAGTACCCCTACCTCCTGCTGCTGCTGTTGATGGTGCTGCTGCTGTTGATTCTGCAGCAGCTGCTGCTACTGATGCTGCATGCCTCGACAATACATCGTGCATGCGACGCGGAGAGGCAGAGGGAGATAGAGAGGACGGGGAGGAGGGCTCGCGAGTAGTAAAAGCGAGAGGGTAGTGCGAGAACACAACAGCAGGGCCGGGGGCTGAAGATAACCCCTGTGCTGACGTGTTCCATGAGGATGACGTGGCAGGGGTGGCTGGAAGTGCTGACGTGGCGGCCTCCCATTGGCTGAGGGCGGAATCGAGCGCGTCCAGGTCAGACGTGGTGGGATGGCCGAAGAAATTGGAGGGTCCTCTGATGCCGATCCGTGGCGCAATGTCGATTCCTAGCAAGAGGATGGGCGGGGCTGGGGATGCTGGGGGGGGGGAGAGCAGGAAAAAACAGCGGCAGGGAGGGAGGGAATATGAGTTGGAGACTGGAGGGTCCTCGTATGCCGACCCGTGGCGTCAGCCATGAGAATTCTCCTGCTAAAGAATTCTGCTGCTAAAGAATTCTCCTGCTAAAGAATTCTCCTGCTAAAGAATTCTCCTGCTAAAGAATTCTCCTGCTAAAGAATTCTCCTGCTAAAGAATTCTCCTGCTAAAGAATTCTCCTGCTAAAGAATTCTCCTGCTAAAGAATTCTCCTGCTAAAGAATTCTCCTGCTAAAGAATTCTCCTGCTAAAGAATTCTCCTGCTAAAGAATTCTCCTGCTAAAGAATTCTCCTGCTAAAGAATTCTCCTGCTAAAGAATTCTCCTGCTAAAGAATTCTCCTGCTAAAGAATTCTCCTGCTAAAGAATTCTCCTGCTAAAGAATTCTCCTGCTAAAGAATTCTCCTGCTAAAGAATTCTCCTGCTAAAGAATTCTCCTGCTAAAGAATTCTCCTGCTAAAGAATTCTCCTGCTAAAGAATTCTCCTGCTAAAGAATTCTCCTGCTAAAGAATTCTCCTGCTAAAGAATTCTCCTGCTAAAGAATTCTCCTGCTAAAGAATTCTCCTGCTAAAGAATTCTCCTGCTAAAGAATTCTCCTGCTAAAGAATTCTCCTGCTAAAGAATTCTCCTGCTAAAGAATTCTCCTGCTAAAGAATTCTCCTGCTAAAGAATTCTCCTGCTAAAGAATTCTCCTGCTAAAGAATTCTCCTGCTAAAGAATTCTCCTGCTAAAGAATTCTCCTGCTAAAGAATTCTCCTGCTAAAGAATTCTCCTGCTAAAGAATTCTCCTGCTAAAGAATTCTCCTGCTAAAGAATTCTCCTGCTAAAGAATTCTCCTGCTAAAGAATTCTCCTGCTAAAGAATTCTCCTGCTAAAGAATTCTCCTGCTAAAGAATTCTCCTGCTAAAGAATTCTCCTGCTAAAGAATTCTCCTGCTAAAGAATTCTCCTGCTAAAGAATTCTCCTGCTAAAGAATTCTCCTGCTAAAGAATTCTCCTGCTAAAGAATTCTCCTGCTAAAGAATTCTCCTGCTAAAGAATTCTCCTGCTAAAGAATTCTCCTGCTAAAGAATTCTCCTGCTAAAGAATTCTCCTGCTAAAGAATTCTCCTGCTAAAGAATTCTCCTGCTAAAGAATTCTCCTGCTAAAGAATTCTCCTGCTAAAGAATTCTCCTGCTAAAGAATTCTCCTGCTAAAGAATTCTCCTGCTAAAGAATTCTCCTGCTAAAGAATTCTCCTGCTAAAGAATTCTCCTGCTAAAGAATTCTCCTGCTAAAGAATTCTCCTGCTAAAGAATTCTCCTGCTAAAGAATTCTCCTGCTAAAGAATTCTCCTGCTAAAGAATTCTCCTGCTAAAGAATTCTCCTGCTAAAGAATTCTCCTGCTAAAGAATTCTCCTGCTAAAGAATTCTCCTGCTAAAGAATTCTCCTGCTAAAGAATTCTCCTGCTAAAGAATTCTCCTGCTAAAGAATTCTCCTGCTAAAGAATTCTCCTGCTAAAGAATTCTCCTGCTAAAGAATTCTCCTGCTAAAGAATTCTCCTGCTAAAGAATTCTCCTGCTAAAGAATTCTCCTGCTAAAGAATTCTCCTGCTAAAGAATTCTCCTGCTAAAGAATTCTCCTGCTAAAGAATTCTCCTGCTAAAGAATTCTCCTGCTAAAGAATTCTCCTGCTAAAGAATTCTCCTGCTAAAGAATTCTCCTGCTAAAGAATTCTCCTGCTAAAGAATTCTCCTGCTAAAGAATTCTCCTGCTAAAGAATTCTGCTGCTAAAGAATTCTGCCTGCTAAAGAATTCTCCTGCTAAAGAATTCTCCTGCTAAAGAATTCTCCTGCTAAAGAATTCTCCTGCTAAAGAATTCTCCTGCTAAAGAATTCTCCTGCTAAAGAATTCTCCTGCTAAAGAATTCTCCTGCTAAAGAATTCTCCTGCTAAAGAATTCTCCTGCTAAAGAATTCTCCTGCTAAAGAATTCTCCTGCTAAAGAATTCTCCTGCTAAAGAATTCTCCTGCTAAAGAATTCTCCTGCTAAAGAATTCTCCTGCTAAAGAATTCTCCTGCTAAAGAATTCTCCTGCTAAAGAATTCTCCTGCTAAAGAATTCTCCTGCTAAAGAATTCTCCTGCTAAAGAATTCTCCTGCTAAAGAATTCTCCTGCTAAAGAATTCTCCTGCTAAAGAATTCTCCTGCTAAAGAATTCTCCTGCTAAAGAATTCTCCTGCTAAAGAATTCTCCTGCTAAAGAATTCTCCTGCTAAAGAATTCTCCTGCTAAAGAATTCTCCTGCTAAAGAATTCTCCTGCTAAAGAATTCTCCTGCTAAAGAATTCTCCTGCTAAAGAATTCTCCTGCTAAAGAATTCTCCTGCTAAAGAATTCTCCTGCTAAAGAATTCTCCTGCTAAAGAATTCTCCTGCTAAAGAATTCTCCTGCTAAAGAATTCTCCTGCTAAAGAATTCTCCTGCTAAAGAATTCTCCTGCTAAAGAATTCTCCTGCTAAAGAATTCTCCTGCTAAAGAATTCTCCTGCTAAAGAATTCTCCTGCTAAAGAATTCTCCTGCTAAAGAATTCTCCTGCTAAAGAATTCTCCTGCTAAAGAATTCTCCTGCTAAAGAATTCTCCTGCTAAAGAATTCTCCTGCTAAAGAATTCTCCTGCTAAAGAATTCTCCTGCTAAAGAATTCTCCTGCTAAAGAATTCTCCTGCTAAAGAATTCTCCTGCTAAAGAATTCTCCTGCTAAAGAATTCTCCTGCTAAAGAATTCTCCTGCTAAAGAATTCTCCTGCTAAAGAATTCTCCTGCTAAAGAATTCTCCTGCTAAAGAATTCTCCTGCTAAAGAATTCTCCTGCTAAAGAATTCTCCTGCTAAAGAATTCTCCTGCTAAAGAATTCTCCTGCTAAAGAATTCTCCTGCTAAAGAATTCTCCTGCTAAAGAATTCTCCTGCTAAAGAATTCTCCTGCTAAAGAATTCTCCTGCTAAAGAATTCTCCTGCTAAAGAATTCTCCTGCTAAAGAATTCTCCTGCTAAAGAATTCTCCTGCTAAAGAATTCTCCTGCTAAAGAATTCTCCTGCTAAAGAATTCTCCTGCTAAAGAATTCTCCTGCTAAAGAATTCTCCTGCTAAAGAATTCTCCTGCTAAAGAATTCTCCTGCTAAAGAATTCTCCTGCTAAAGAATTCTCCTGCTAAAGAATTCTCCTGCTAAAGAATTCTCCTGCTAAAGAATTCTCCTGCTAAAGAATTCTCCTGCTAAAGAATTCTCCTGCTAAAGAATTCTCCTGCTAAAGAATTCTCCTGCTAAAGAATTCTCCTGCTAAAGAATTCTCCTGCTAAAGAATTCTCCTGCTAAAGAATTCTCCTGCTAAAGAATTCTCCTGCTAAAGAATTCTCCTGCTAAAGAATTCTCCTGCTAAAGAATTCTCCTGCTAAAGAATTCTCCTGCTAAAGAATTCTCCTGCTAAAGAATTCTCCTGCTAAAGAATTCTCCTGCTAAAGAATTCTCCTGCTAAAGAATTCTCCTGCTAAAGAATTCTCCTGCTAAAGAATTCTCCTGCTAAAGAATTCTCCTGCTAAAGAATTCTCCTGCTAAAGAATTCTCCTGCTAAAGAATTCTCCTGCTAAAGAATTCTCCTGCTAAAGAATTCTCCTGCTAAAGAATTCTCCTGCTAAAGAATTCTCCTGCTAAAGAATTCTCCTGCTAAAGAATTCTCCTGCTAAAGAATTCTCCTGCTAAAGAATTCTCCTGCTAAAGAATTCTCCTGCTAAAGAATTCTCCTGCTAAAGAATTCTCCTGCTAAAGAATTCTCCTGCTAAAGAATTCTCCTGCTAAAGAATTCTCCTGCTAAAGAATTCTCCTGCTAAAGAATTCTCCTGCTAAAGAATTCTCCTGCTAAAGAATTCTCCTGCTAAAGAATTCTCCTGCTAAAGAATTCTCCTGCTAAAGAATTCTCCTGCTAAAGAATTCTCCTGCTAAAGAATTCTCCTGCTAAAGAATTCTCCTGCTAAAGAATTCTCCTGCTAAAGAATTCTCCTGCTAAAGAATTCTCCTGCTAAAGAATTCTCCTGCTAAAGAATTCTCCTGCTAAAGAATTCTCCTGCTAAAGAATTCTCCTGCTAAAGAATTCTCCTGCTAAAGAATTCTCCTGCTAAAGAATTCTCCTGCTAAAGAATTCTCCTGCTAAAGAATTCTCCTGCTAAAGAATTCTCCTGCTAAAGAATTCTCCTGCTAAAGAATTCTCCTGCTAAAGAATTCTCCTGCTAAAGAATTCTCCTGCTAAAGAATTCTCCTGCTAAAGAATTCTCCTGCTAAAGAATTCTCCTGCTAAAGAATTCTCCTGCTAAAGAATTCTCCTGCTAAAGAATTCTCCTGCTAAAGAATTCTCCTGCTAAAGAATTCTCCTGCTAAAGAATTCTCCTGCTAAAGAATTCTCCTGCTAAAGAATTCTCCTGCTAAAGAATTCTCCTGCTAAAGAATTCTCCTGCTAAAGAATTCTCCTGCTAAAGAATTCTCCTGCTAAAGAATTCTCCTGCTAAAGAATTCTCCTGCTAAAGAATTCTCCTGCTAAAGAATTCTCCTGCTAAAGAATTCTCCTGCTAAAGAATTCTCCTGCTAAAGAATTCTCCTGCTAAAGAATTCTCCTGCTAAAGAATTCTCCTGCTAAAGAATTCTCCTGCTAAAGAATTCTCCTGCTAAAGAATTCTCCTGCTAAAGAATTCTCCTGCTAAAGAATTCTCCTGCTAAAGAATTCTCCTGCTAAAGAATTCTCCTGCTAAAGAATTCTCCTGCTAAAGAATTCTCCTGCTAAAGAATTCTCCTGCTAAAGAATTCTCCTGCTAAAGAATTCTCCTGCTAAAGAATTCTCCTGCTAAAGAATTCTCCTGCTAAAGAATTCTCCTGCTAAAGAATTCTCCTGCTAAAGAATTCTCCTGCTAAAGAATTCTCCTGCTAAAGAATTCTCCTGCTAAAGAATTCTCCTGCTAAAGAATTCTCCTGCTAAAGAATTCTCCTGCTAAAGAATTCTCCTGCTAAAGAATTCTCCTGCTAAAGAATTCTCCTGCTAAAGAATTCTCCTGCTAAAGAATTCTCCTGCTAAAGAATTCTCCTGCTAAAGAATTCTCCTGCTAAAGAATTCTCCTGCTAAAGAATTCTCCTGCTAAAGAATTCTCCTGCTAAAGAATTCTCCTGCTAAAGAATTCTCCTGCTAAAGAATTCTCCTGCTAAAGAATTCTCCTGCTAAAGAATTCTCCTGCTAAAGAATTCTCCTGCTAAAGAATTCTCCTGCTAAAGAATTCTCCTGCTAAAGAATTCTCCTGCTAAAGAATTCTCCTGCTAAAGAATTCTCCTGCTAAAGAATTCTCCTGCTAAAGAATTCTCCTGCTAAAGAATTCTCCTGCTAAAGAATTCTCCTGCTAAAGAATTCTCCTGCTAAAGAATTCTCCTGCTAAAGAATTCTCCTGCTAAAGAATTCTCCTGCTAAAGAATTCTCCTGCTAAAGAATTCTCCTGCTAAAGAATTCTCCTGCTAAAGAATTCTCCTGCTAAAGAATTCTCCTGCTAAAGAATTCTCCTGCTAAAGAATTCTCCTGCTAAAGAATTCTCCTGCTAAAGAATTCTCCTGCTAAAGAATTCTCCTGCTAAAGAATTCTCCTGCTAAAGAATTCTCCTGCTAAAGAATTCTGCTGCTAAAGAATTCTGCTGCTAAAGAATTCTCCTGCTAAAGAATTCTCCTGCTAAAGAATTCTCCTGCTAAAGAATTCTCCTGCTAAAGAATTCTCCTGCTAAAGAATTCTCCTGCTAAAGAATTCTCCTGCTAAAGAATTCTCCTGCTAAAGAATTCTCCTGCTAAAGAATTCTCCTGCTAAAGAATTCTCCTGCTAAAGAATTCTCCTGCTAAAGAATTCTCCTGCTAAAGAATTCTCCTGCTAAAGAATTCTCCTGCTAAAGAATTCTCCTGCTAAAGAATTCTCCTGCTAAAGAATTCTCCTGCTAAAGAATTCTCCTGCTAAAGAATTCTCCTGCTAAAGAATTCTCCTGCTAAAGAATTCTCCTGCTAAAGAATTCTCCTGCTAAAGAATTCTCCTGCTAAAGAATTCTCCTGCTAAAGAATTCTCCTGCTAAAGAATTCTCCTGCTAAAGAATTCTCCTGCTAAAGAATTCTCCTGCTAAAGAATTCTCCTGCTAAAGAATTCTCCTGCTAAAGAATTCTCCTGCTAAAGAATTCTCCTGCTAAAGAATTCTCCTGCTAAAGAATTCTCCTGCTAAAGAATTCTCCTGCTAAAGAATTCTCCTGCTAAAGAATTCTCCTGCTAAAGAATTCTCCTGCTAAAGAATTCTCCTGCTAAAGAATTCTCCTGCTAAAGAATTCTCCTGCTAAAGAATTCTCCTGCTAAAGAATTCTCCTGCTAAAGAATTCTCCTGCTAAAGAATTCTCCTGCTAAAGAATTCTCCTGCTAAAGAATTCTGCTGCTAAAGAATTCTGCTGCTAAAGAATTCTGCTGCTAAAGAATTCTCCTGCTAAAGAATTCTCCTGCTAAAGAATTCTCCTGCTAAAGAATTCTCCTGCTAAAGAATTCTCCTGCTAAAGAATTCTCCTGCTAAAGAATTCTCCTGCTAAAGAATTCTCCTGCTAAAGAATTCTCCTGCTAAAGAATTCTCCTGCTAAAGAATTCTCCTGCTAAAGAATTCTCCTGCTAAAGAATTCTCCTGCTAAAGAATTCTCCTGCTAAAGAATTCTCCTGCTAAAGAATTCTCCTGCTAAAGAATTCTCCTGCTAAAGAATTCTCCTGCTAAAGAATTCTCCTGCTAAAGAATTCTCCTGCTAAAGAATTCTCCTGCTAAAGAATTCTCCTGCTAAAGAATTCTCCTGCTAAAGAATTCTGCTGCTAAAGAATTCTGCTGCTAAAGAATTCTGCTGCTAAAGAATTCTCCTGCTAAAGAATTCTCCTGCTAAAGAATTCTCCTGCTAAAGAATTCTCCTGCTAAAGAATTCTCCTGCTAAAGAATTCTCCTGCTAAAGAATTCTCCTGCTAAAGAATTCTCCTGCTAAAGAATTCTCCTGCTAAAGAATTCTCCTGCTAAAGAATTCTCCTGCTAAAGAATTCTCCTGCTAAAGAATTCTCCTGCTAAAGAATTCTCCTGCTAAAGAATTCTCCTGCTAAAGAATTCTCCTGCTAAAGAATTCTCCTGCTAAAGAATTCTCCTGCTAAAGAATTCTCCTGCTAAAGAATTCTCCTGCTAAAGAATTCTCCTGCTAAAGAATTCTCCTGCTAAAGAATTCTCCTGCTAAAGAATTCTCCTGCTCTGCTAAAGAATTCTCCTGCTAAAGAATTCTCCTGCTAAAGAATTCTCCTGCTAAAGAATTCTCCTGCTAAAGAATTCTCCTGCTAAAGAATTCTCCTGCTAAAGAATTCTCCTGCTAAAGAATTCTCCTGCTAAAGAATTCTCCTGCTAAAGAATTCTCCTGCTAAAGAATTCTCCTGCTAAAGAATTCTCCTGCTAAAGAATTCTCCTGCTAAAGAATTCTCCTGCTAAAGAATTCTCCTGCTAAAGAATTCTCCTGCTAAAGAATTCTCCTGCTAAAGAATTCTCCTGCTAAAGAATTCTCCTGCTAAAGAATTCTCCTGCTAAAGAATTCTCCTGCTAAAGAATTCTCCTGCTAAAGAATTCTCCTGCTAAAGAATTCTCCTGCTAAAGAATTCTCCTGCTAAAGAATTCTCCTGCTAAAGAATTCTCCTGCTAAAGAATTCTCCTGCTAAAGAATTCTCCTGCTAAAGAATTCTCCTGCTAAAGAATTCTCCTGCTAAAGAATTCTGCTGCTAAAGAATTCTGCTGCTAAAGAATTCTGCTGCTAAAGAATTCTCCTGCTAAAGAATTCTCCTGCTAAAGAATTCTCCTGCTAAAGAATTCTCCTGCTAAAGAATTCTCCTGCTAAAGAATTCTCCTGCTAAAGAATTCTCCTGCTAAAGAATTCTCCTGCTAAAGAATTCTCCTGCTAAAGAATTCTCCTGCTAAAGAATTCTCCTGCTAAAGAATTCTCCTGCTAAAGAATTCTCCTGCTAAAGAATTCTCCTGCTAAAGAATTCTCCTGCTAAAGAATTCTCCTGCTAAAGAATTCTCCTGCTAAAGAATTCTCCTGCTAAAGAATTCTCCTGCTAAAGAATTCTCCTGCTAAAGAATTCTCCTGCTAAAGAATTCTCCTGCTAAAGAATTCTCCTGCTAAAGAATTCTCCTGCTAAAGAATTCTCCTGCTAAAGAATTCTCCTGCTAAAGAATTCTCCTGCTAAAGAATTCTCCTGCTAAAGAATTCTCCTGCTAAAGAATTCTCCTGCTAAAGAATTCTCCTGCTAAAGAATTCTCCTGCTAAAGAATTCTGCTGCTAAAGAATTCTCCTGCTAAAGAATTCTGCTGCTAAAGAATTCTCCTGCTAAAGAATTCTCCTGCTAAAGAATTCTCCTGCTAAAGAATTCTCCTGCTAAAGAATTCTCCTGCTAAAGAATTCTCCTGCTAAAGAATTCTCCTGCTAAAGAATTCTCCTGCTAAAGAATTCTCCTGCTAAAGAATTCTCCTGCTAAAGAATTCTCCTGCTAAAGAATTCTCCTGCTAAAGAATTCTCCTGCTAAAGAATTCTCCTGCTAAAGAATTCTCCTGCTAAAGAATTCTCCTGCTAAAGAATTCTCCTGCTAAAGAATTCTCCTGCTAAAGAATTCTCCTGCTAAAGAATTCTCCTGCTAAAGAATTCTCCTGCTAAAGAATTCTCCTGCTAAAGAATTCTCCTGCTAAAGAATTCTCCTGCTAAAGAATTCTCCTGCTAAAGAATTCTCCTGCTAAAGAATTCTCCTGCTAAAGAATTCTCCTGCTAAAGAATTCTCCTGCTAAAGAATTCTCCTGCTAAAGAATTCTCCTGCTAAAGAATTCTCCTGCTAAAGAATTCTCCTGCTAAAGAATTCTCCTGCTAAAGAATTCTCCTGCTAAAGAATTCTCCCGCTAAAGAATTCTCCTGCTAAAGAATTCTCCTGCTAAAGAATTCTCCTGCTAAAGAATTCTCCTGCTAAAGAATTCTCCTGCTAAACAATTCTCCTGCTAAAGAATTCTCCTGCTAAAGAATTCTCCTGCTAAAGAATTCTCCTGCTAAAGAATTCTCCTGCTAAAGAATTCTCCTGCTAAAGAATTCTCCTGCTAAAGAATTCTCCTGCTAAAGAATTCTCCTGCTGCTAAAGAATTCTCCTGCTGCTAAAGAATTCTCCTGCTGCTAAAGAATTCTCCTAAGCTGCAGCTCGCCTAGTCTCATGGCTGAAGAGACTGGAGGGTCCTCGTATGCCGACCCGGGGCGCAATGTCGACCCCTAGCAGGAGAATGGGCGGAGTTGGGGATTCTGGCGTGGAGAGGGGGGGGGGGCGGGGAGGGGCAGGATGTGAGTTGCGGAGGGGGCATGGAGGGTTGGGATATGAGTTGGAAGCTGGAGGGTCCTGTGATGCCCACCCGGGGCGCAATGTCGATCCCTAGCAGGGGATGGGCGGGGATGGGGATGCTGGTCGCACACAAGGAAAAGGGAGGGGCCAGGGAGGTGCAAAACGGTGGGGTGGTGTGTAGTGAGCTAAGGTCCTGGAAGTTGGGAGGTAGAGGGTCCTGTGATGCCCACACGGGGTGCAAAGTCGACCCCTAGCAGGGGGATGGGCGGGGATGGGGATGCTGGCGGCACAGGGAAAGAGGGAGGGGCCATGGGGTGGTATGTAGTCAGCTAAGGTCCTGGGAGTTAGACATTGGAGGGCTCTCAAAACAGGTCCTGGGAGTTAGACATTGGAGGGCCCCCTCTGATCTGATGCCCAGTTTTGGGTGGACTCAAAAGTCGAGTTTTGAGTCGACTCAAAACAGGTCCTGGGAGTTAGACATTGGAGGGCCCCCTCTGATCTGATGCCCAGTTTTGGGTGGACTCAAAAGTCGAGTTTTGAGTCGACTCAAAACAGGTCCTGGGAGTTAGACATTGGAGGGAACCCTCTGATGTGATGCCCACACGGGGCGCAATGTCGATGCCTAGTAGGAGGATGGGCAGGGATGGGGAAGCTGGGAGGCATAAGGGGAGAGGGGGGGAACAAGAGAGGGGCAAGATATGATTGCACGACGTTGAGATTTGGCAAGTCCCTTGTGCCCGCCCAGGACGCTATACTGCAAACCAAGTCTCACCAATTCTCACAATTTCTCACCACTTCTCACCACTTCTCACCAATTCTCACCACTTCTCACCACTTCTCACCTTTCCCCGAGTCTGCTTCGAAGGGCCGCAGCACCAGCCCCTGCACTCCCCCTCTCCCGCACTGCGCGCTGACACTCTGCCGCCCAAAAAAATCCCCCTCGCCGCCCCGAATCGGCACACTGAACGCGTCATGATTGCCCCTCAAATCCAGCACCCGGGGGAAAGGGGCGCAGGAGGGGCGGCTGGGAGAAATATTATGAGTATGTTCGGTTTGTTGGGATTGAGAGGTGAGGGAGAGCGGTGGAGAGGGGGAGGAGGGCGGGTGGGCGGCGTTGATTGCGGTGCTGAGGGCGTGCATTGCTTGGGAGTATGCACGCCATTCTGACTCGTTCTGGGCCGTTGTTGTGCGCTGACGGTTCTTTGATTCTGAAAGTGGAGGGTACAAAGGGAGAGACGGGGAGGAAGGAGGAGGGGAAAGGAGGGAAGAAGTATCAGGAACAGGGCGGGTGGGCGGCGTTGATTGCGCTGCTGATGGCGTGCATTGCTTGGGAGTATGCATGCCATTCTGACTCGTTCTGGGCCGTTGTTGTGCGCTGGCGGTTCTTTGATTCTGAAGCGGATGAAATGCGAAGGAAGGGGATGGAAGAGGGGGAATGAGGGCACAAGGCATGAGACAACAACAAGGATGCTTTAGATCTATCAAGATGAGGATAGAGAAAAAAAAAAAAAAAATGAATAAAACATGATGGGGCTTAGTGAGGCATAGGCACGCACATGAAACCCCGTCAGCACGGGTATGAAACAGTATCAGCGCTCACATGTAACCCACATCAGCACGAACGAACGCACCTGTGAGATCCCCAGACACTATAAGCGCAGCAGGCGCTATAACGCGGACAGCTGGCACGAGGTGCACGAGGAGATCATTGGCTCTTGATGGCACGTGCACGCTGACGTGGACGTCCGACAGCTGCATCCACCACACCACTCCGTGACGAGCCTCGCCGCCCACCTCCTCCCACCTGAACCCGCCTGCTTGGCGTCCATCTCCGTCAGAAAGCTGACGGCCATCCTGTTGCAGTAAGTGCCGTCCACCTCCTTTTCCTGACTTCTGACCGTCTCGTCTTAGCGAATCACCTCCTAACGAGTCTCCTCTAAGCGAGCTTTCTGTTATAAATTCCTCAACTTCTTCGCCCTGTAACCGCGGTGAAGCTGACACGAGGACTGCCAAACAGAGAAGAAAATACGCAGCGGCTGCCATCGCTTCGCGCTTTAAAGTCGCCACTATGTTAGATCATCTCACGTGTTCGCACACGTGCAGGCTAGCGGGAGACGAAGCTGGGCATCTATCTGCCACGCATGGCACGCAACGAGCGTATCACGCTACGCAGTTATCAAACAAACGAATACAGTAACGTACTAAACCTCGCTGGGAGCGAACTGAAGAAGGAAAACTGTCAGGATAAGGGGATGCGCCTCAGGAACACGCCACCAGAAGGTGAGGTCCTTGGCGGGAATTTCAAGGTGTGGTGCTCCGCTGCAAGCTCGATGCGATACAAACAAGTTTCGGATTACCAGCAGAACCATTATATGCTTATATGCGGCAAACTCATATGCTACACAAAATTCTATACCCAATGTGCATTTCACTTAGGCTAACCACAAAGCATCCATCATGGATCCAATCACCTCCTTTTTTGGAAACCTGTGAAGCAGCCCCATATAGCTAGGCTATAAAACAATATTGCATATATTCTTACACTTGCCGTTGCCAGGACTACCATACCACTGATGTTCTCTATATCGATCCTGTATCAACGTCTCTGTATGCGACTCGCTTCTAGGTTGAGTTAAGGCTGGGAACCATTCCATCCTTTTTCTTTCTAGGCTGGAAACCGTTCACCAAAAGCTTCAGGCCGTCCTGCCCGGGTTGTGATTCGCGTATATCGTGGCCGTTGTTTGCTTCCCAGAAGGTTCTTAACCATGTCAACAACCCGTGGGACAGATGCCGCGAAGACGACGGTCAAGAGTAAATGAGTGAGTCGATTTTGCCCCTGCATTGGAAAGGCACGACAAAAGTACATCAGTAGGTGAGCAAAGCGTCAGTTTTTTTTTTAATGAGAAATAAGAAAATGGCAGAGACCAAACAAACTGGGAAAGAAAGAAGACAAGCTACGAAACAAACTTGAAAGAGATGTGTTAACTTAAGGAAATGTGCATACCTGAACACGATGAACAATCTCCCGAATCTCCTCAACATCTGCAATCTGTGCTGCTGCAAGCTCCTTCAAACTGTCCCCCCCACTCTCCTCCGCACTCTCCCCCTTGCTCTCCCCTGCACTGCTCTCCACCTCACTCCCGACCCCCCTGATCCCACCAATCCCCTTGCCAACAGCACTAGCCCCATCTTCACTTCCAATCACCAGCACAGATTCCCTTCTCCCAGCACTCTCTCTTGCCACGTCAGATCTCCTCCTCGACACGTCACGCGCCTGTCCTGCCACGTCATCAGTGTTGCTGACCCGTGCCGTGATTCCATTGGCCAGAGCATGGACGGATGACGTGGCAGCAGAGGCAGAGACATTGGTGGTGGTTGGGACTTGGGTGGGAACAGAAGTGGCAGTGGCGACGTTACTTTTGGCAGTGGTGGAGGTGGAGGGAAGAAGAGGACGGGAGGAGAGGGAGGAAGAGGAGGATAGGGCTTGGTGGTGGTAAGGAGCAGATGCGATTGCTGAAGGGTCTCCTCCTCCCTGCAGGAAGCAATGTGATAGCGATGTGAAGGGGTGTGGGGCGAGGAAGGAGAAGGGGAGAAAAAGACAGAAGGAGGAAGGAGAGAGGAAGGGAAGGGGGAGACAGGAAGAGAGACATAATTGGCAGAGAGAAGCGAAATGGAAAAGGAACAGGAGCAGGCAGGAAGAGGAGAGGAAGGGGATGAAGATATAGGAAGGGAGTGAAAGCAGGCACAATGTGAGAAGTACAGGGAAGGAGGCGAGAGGGGGAAAACAGGCAATGGGAGGTAGGGAAGGAGGAAGAGGAAAGGAGACACGGGAGAGGAAGACAAAAAGGAGGAAAGGAAAAGAAAAATCGAAGGGAGAGCAGGCAAGGAGGGAGGGGAGGAGGGGTTGTCACGTTCAAGGGAAAGGATGGGGGAGAAAAGGTGAACATGAAGAAAAAAACAAAGACAGACGCAGTTTTTTGGTGACTCAGGCAAATACCGAGATGACTTCTGGAATGCCTCAAATAAGCAGCATGACACATTGCCTTCTCTCACCAGCAGTGCTGTTAGCTTCGCCTCCAGCACCCTTATTTGCATCGCCTTCTCAGAAGCTTCCTTCTCTGCCTGCGCAGCCCTCCTCTCAGCCTCCACTGCTCTGCGCTCTGCAGACTGTGAAAATTTGGAGACAGAGAAGAAGGTGGGGACAAAGTGGAGAGGGAGGAGCGAGGAGGGAGGAGAGAGATACAAGAGAGAGGAAAGAGCAGGAGAGACGAGGGAGGAGAGACTGCTGAGTGAGGAGTGTGGAGAGCTTTAGCTGGTTACAAAATCCCTTTGCCGCATCTACCAGCTAAAGACACATGCTTGAGAGATCCTTAGTAGTGACTTGACCACACGTACCCCTCCACTGCCTCTACCCAGCATCCTGCTGGCACCTAGCCCGCCTTCCTCGGCCTCTACCCCTACCCTACCCATTCTGGCTGATTACAACATGCCTGTGCCGCTTCTACCACCAAACAACACACACGCCTGTGATATCCCGTGGGGTCAGTGGAGGGATAGTCGCTCCAAGCACACACATACCTCCACTGCTTCTGACAGTCGCTCCACGTCTTGTTGGCTCAGAGACGCCTGCCCCATCTCCAGCAGCTCCTGCATCAAATCCTCCGCTTCTTCCTGCTTTGACGGGGGGAAATGGGCGATAGAGAAACAATGACAATCGGGATTAGGGGAGGTTGGAGAGACAACTAGAGCACAAAACACCACCTCCTGCATGTATGTTCCACAAACTGCCTCTGTGGAGAGCTACACATAGGGGCAGCATGACGTGGGCGACTAGCCCACAAAAAAATGACACAAAAATGACACAAGGGAATCCACTAGCCTGAAGAATTCTCTGTCACTTGAGTTGAGTGTGTGGCGTGCTCATAGACCCTTACCACACTCTGCATTGCACATTTCCACACACTAGTGCACCACACTAAACCGCACTGCGTTTGTTGCAGGAAAACCCATACCACCACACTGAACCACACTGCATAATGCTGCACCGCATTGCACTGCACCGTACCATGCTGTTGGATTCTCTCCACATGGTGCTCTCTGGGATCTCATCAATGCTCTTACTGCAACCACCCATAACGAGGACACACAGTAGGAAGAAAAGTTATGGGAAAGCAAAGGGAGGAGAAGATCCTTGCTGTAATCAGACCATGCTTCCAGCGTGTTCCTATCATGCTTCTATAGAGCTCCTGCCAAGCTATAATCGTGCTCCCAGCATTCTCCTACCATGTTTCCCAGCCCTCTATCAAGCCCTCCAGATTTCCCACCTGTTGATCTCTCTGCCTGCATCCACTTCCTCCATCTGCTGCTTCAGCCCCTCCTCCTCCGCCTCCCACTTGCTGTTCGTCGCTGGTAGTGATGGGAGGACGGGAAGAAAGGCAGGGGAAGGGCTAAGGAAAGTGTTTGCAAACGCTCCATCTGCTGCTTCAGCCCCTCCTCCTCCGCCTCCCACTTGCTGTTCGTCGCTGGCAGAGATGGGAGGACGGGAAGAAAGGCAGGGGAAGGGCTAAGGAAAGTGTTTGCAAACGCTCCATCTGCTGCTTCAGCCCCTCCTCCTCCGCCTCCCACTTGCTGTTCGTCGCTGGTAGAGATGGGAGGACGGGAAGAAAGGCAGGGGAAGGGCTAAGGAAAGTGTTTGCAAACGCTCCATCTGCTGCTTCAGCCCCTCCTCCTCCGCCTCCCACTTGCTGTTCGTCGCTGGTAGAGATGGGAGAACGGGAAGAAAGGCAGGGGAATGGCTAAGGAATGTGTTTGCAAACGCTCCATCTGCTGCTTCAGCCCCTCCTCCTCCGCCTCCCACTTGCTGTTCGTCGCTGGTAGAGATGGGAGGACGGGAAGAAAGGCAGGGGAAGGGCTAAGGAAAGTGTTTGCAAACGCTCCATCTGCTGCTTCAGCCCCTCCTCCTCCGCCTCCCACTTGCTGTTCGTCGCTGGTAGAGATGGGAGGACGGGAAGAAAGGCAGGGGAAGGGCTAAGGAAAGTGTTTGCAAACGCTCCATCTGCTGCTTCAGCCCCTCCTCCTCCGCCTCCCACTTTCTGTTCGTCGCTGGTAGAGATGGGAGGACGGGAAGAAAGGCAGGGGAATGGCTAAGGAAAGTGTTTGCAAACGCTCCATCTGCTGCTTCAGCCCCTCCTCCTCCGCCTCCCACTTGCTGTTCGTCGCTGGTAGAGATGGGAGGACGGGAAGAAAGGCAGGGGAAGGGCTAAGGAAAGTGTTTGCAAACGCTCCATCTGCTGCTTCAGCCCCTCCTCCTCCGCCTCCCACTTTCTGTTCGTCCCTGGTCAAGCCGGAGGGCGGGAAGAAAGAAACGCAGTGAAACGAGCATTTTGGCAAGGAGGGCGCGGGGGTAAAAGGGGAAGCGGAAGGAGGTCGCGTCTGCTGCTGGAGCATCCTCCCCCGCCTCTCACTCGCTGCTTGTGGTTACGAGGGATGGGAGAATTCTCGATGAGACGAACGACGGCTCTAGACAGGAGGTGGGAGACGGAACCAATGAAGTCTCAGCAGGGAGGGAGGGAAGAGGGGGCGGAGTTAAGACAGAAAGGGGAGAATGCTTCATGTGCTGCTTATAATATCCCTCCTGGTCCCATGACCACTGGTCGGGGGAGGATTAAGGAGAAGACGAAGAAACACGCCCACTGGTCCCTCCTGCATGCTGCAAAAGTCTCAACTCGCAGCTCCTCAATCTTGTAACAGACAGGGTTTGTGTTGCGATCTACCTCATCCACACCATAGAACCAAAAAGCCCCAGAAAATGCCTCATCTCCACCTGGCCCACAGCCCCATAAACGCCTCATCATGCCCACTTGGCCCCTCCTGCCCCACTACCCCACCTGCTCCCCCTCCTGCCCCACTACCCCACCTGCTCCCCCTCCTGCCCCACTACCCCACCTGCTCCCCCTCCTGCCCCACTACCCCACCTGCTCCCCCTCCTGCCCCACTACCCCACCTGCTCCCCCTCCTGCCCCACTACCCCACCTGCTCCCCCTCCTGCCCCACTACCCCACCTGCTCCCCCTCCTGCCCCACTACCCCACCTGCTCCCCCTCCTGCCCCACTACCCCACCTGCTCCCCCTCCTGCCCCACTACCCCACCTGCTCCCCCTCCTGCCCCACTACCCCACCTGCTCCCCCTCCTGCCCCACTACCCCACCTGCTCCCCCTCCTGCCCCACTACCCCACCTGCTCCCCCTCCTGCCCCACTATCCCACCTGCTCCCCCTCCTGCCCTCACTATCCCACCTGCTCCCTCCTGTGTGCTGCGGAAGAGCTCAAAGCGCAGCACCTCGGATTTGGCAAGCTCGTCCCGCAGGCGAGCCACCTCCATCTGATGGCGGGGTTGAGGGAAAGTAAGTGACGGAGATTCGAAGCGGAATGGGCAGGGCACTTCAAACATTGACAAGAAACACACTGGTTCAACCAGAGGAGTTGAGTTCAGAGACTGCATGTGGTAAGAGTATGAGTGGCGGGTTGACGAAACAGTGAGTCAAGGGATCGGGCAGTTGGCGAAGATGGAAAGGTTCAGAGATGATATCACTAAGAAAGTTCAACACAGTTCAATTGCACCTTGGTCATGCCTGGAAATCAGCTCACCTGTATCTTGATCGTCCCTGACTCGTCCAAATCTTCCAGCCGCTCCTCCAGTAGCGCCTGCACCATGGCTGGATTCATTTCAGCTGCCCGCTGCGCTGCCCGGCGCTTCCATTCCTCTGCCAGATTTCAGAGAGAGGGGAAGGGCGCGTGCGGATGGTACAGGAGGGGGGTGGATGGGTGGAGCTTTCGGAACATGGCAATATAATCGGTTCGACATGATACAGTGGTAAATCATGGTAATGTAACGTATCAATACATGCTGTAACATCTCCCAGTGTACATGGCTGAATGGTAGATGCCGACATACATTAGTAAGACTCTCTGCAACATAGCCGACAGTCATGCATCGATTAGAACACCAACATTTAGATGCCGTGGACCTTAACTCACCGCATCTAGCAGCCATGGATCTTAGCTCAAGCTCCAGCGCTGCTGCATGTGCTTTGGCCTCCTCTAGCTGCTTGTCCTGGCAACGGGAGTATGAGGGGGGGTATGAGGCGGGGTATAAGGAAGGGTGTGAGGGGGGAGAGGCATGAGGAGGGATGTGAGGAGGAGAGACGATGGCACGACATTTAAATCACCCACTTCTGTGTTCGGTTCACTCACTGTTGCGTTTGCGTCACCACTTATGCTAATAGAGTTCGGTTCACGTACCGCTGGCGTTCGGTTCTTGAGCTGCTCCTGCAGCAACAGGTCCTCCAGAGCATCCCTCTCCTCGCACACCTGCACGTGTGAGCCACTCACACACAAGGACACTCAAAGGTCATTCTTGAGGCGCCTCAAACATTCCCTGCAGCAGCAGGTCCTCCAGAGCATCCCTCTCCTCGCACACCTGCACGTGTGGGCCACTCACAGGTCAGCACGATTACACCAGCAGTCAAGGGTCACCATAGTATACAAGCACTCGAATGTCTTCCCAATACACAGCACTCGAAGGTGGTAGGTCGCCTCAACAGTCACACGATCACTTACAATCGTTCCTGGCAACACGCCTATAGGACAGGCAGCATCGGTGCGGGAACAAGGCCAAGCGAGCTGAGGGCACATTGACAACCAGTCACAGTCTCATGCTGAGAACCATCACCAGATTAGGCTTGACGAGAAGCATAGCGAGGACTCATGGGAGGCAGTAGAGAGGACTGGTGATACGCATCCACACCGTACCTGTTGATAGCTCGCTCGGAGCTCCTCTATTTCTCTCTCCAGGTCGGCGATTCCCTTGGTCCTGCTGGAGCTCTGGCGGGCGACGCAACGAAACACGGGGCAATGGAGGACGTGGGAACAACGGGCATTAATCAGTGGAGGATGTTAGAGTAACGGACCGGAATCACATGGGGATACAGGCTGGATCGAGGAAGGGATTCACCTGAGTAAAGTCTTGGAGAGAATCCAAGATATGGCATCGTGAAATAAGACCAGAGAGCGATCCGATGACTGATGGTGGTAAAACTCCGAAGGCTCGCTATTTCAGGGGAATCGGCGGTTGGACGTGGAGTTATGGAACCAAACGATGTCGGTGCATGGTTGACGACTGACCCATGTGCCGACAGAGAAGATTCTGACAGTTACCAGCTCACTGATACGCTTGGCTCAAATGCCATTCTATAAGCTGATCGCGCTAACGACGCCGGACTGGCTCGAACTCGCTGGCGACACCAAACCCAGTCAGTGGCGGTACCAGACGGACTGATGACGCCATTGGTCCTGACTGGTTCCTTGCAATAATGAACTGACGTATTCGCAAAGGGCTTCAAACCCATTGGTTCGTGAACGATACCAGATTCATGATCTTCGCGGACACCAAGAAACGCATACTGACCGAGCTTACAATAGGTGGTGCTGGTTTCTTCCCGAGGCCGCCGGTCCACTGAGCATTCGGCGTGTACGACGGCGACGCATCGATGGACTCCGACGCTGACTGATACGCCGGCGACATCAGACTCTCCATTGCAGCTTGAAACTCGCTACTACTGCTCTTTATTTTCCGCTTTCCCGACCCTCCATTAGCATCCCCGTTGACCGCCAGGGCGTCGACTAGAGCTTCTGACGCCAGCAGACTCCTCGTCGACTCAACGAGGCTGTGAGCCGCTCGATCCGTTCCTGAATGGTCAAGATCCGTCCGGGTATCGCTGCTGTCTGTTCTCCCGACGGAGCTAGAGACGGATTTACTGACAGGGTCTGAGGCTAAGGAAGCGGAAGGGAGTTTGTTCGACGTTAGTTCTTCCAGGATTCGGTCTATGGCGTCAGATGGTGGAGAGTTCATGCTCGAGTTTTATCACCAATCACCCACTGACTTGACTAGGATTAGGGTGAAGCTGGATCAGTACGAAATCACACTGCAATGAAATCTCTAGGTCCCTGGTCCAAGTTGAACTATGAGCACTGATTTGCATTTCAGTAGGAAACAACAGAAAAACTAGCGCTACGACGACAACGGTTTTAGGAATTGTCACTTTTTTTCCTAACAAAAAGGCCTAGCGGAGGTCTGGTTCTGACAAATGCTATTGAAAGATGTGGAAACTGGAGTGGAGTGGGGTGGAGCAGGAAGGATGCTGCTGCTGACTGAGGGGTGTGAGCTTCAGCAGCACATTTCACCATCAAGAAGCTTGGGGACGAAAGCTCTTGCGAAAAATATTTTGCTGTCGCGAAGATCGCCATGCCTCAATTGACCAGGACAGACAGGTGGCGAAAGGACGAAACTGTCCTCGCGATTCGTGAATACTGATGGCCATGATGCTTGTGATTCCGAGAATCCCACAAATGGATGTGTGACATCCATCTTGTCCGCCAACGGTTCTTTTGCGCGGGAAACTGGATTCAACAAAAAAGTACCGATTGAAAACATGTTTTCATAAACTTTCAGCTTCCCGTTACAATTTGCTAGAAATTTTGGTTTCTGTAAGGAATTTTCCTTATTTCCTTATCGGGTTGACTGCTACGCGTACAGCCCGATTTTCGGACTTCGCACGTTCGGCCGATTTCAACGCTGCCGAGGCTCCTCGCGTCGCCTTCGGCATTTCCCATCACCAAACCTGCACCCCAATCTCGCTCGTCCGAGGTTTCCTCCTAGCTAGGCCAACCCCTACATTAGTCTGTGCCTTCATTGTATTCGCAGTTCGTTCAATCACAGTCTCGTTATTCGTTTTACCTGCGCACTCTCTTTGACAACTCATAACACCTGGTATCAGAACTACTTGTCAAATGTTGAACATTGATATGATAGGCTATAGTGAGTTGCACTCTAGGGGGTACAGCTTCTAGGGTTGCTCATTTGTACCCCATTCGTTTCTATTCCAATCATTCCGTTGTTCGCTAACTTTGAGATGGTATCATGAGTAGGTGTCGATCCTCTCGCCTAGCCTAGCCTAGCTCGCGCCCTAGCGCCCTCCGCGCCCTTGCGCCCTAGCACACTCCGCGCCCTCCGCGCCCTCCGCGCCCTTGCGCCCTAGCACCCTCCGCGCCCTCCGCGCCCTCCGCGCCCTCCGCGCCTTAGCCACCGCGCCCTCCGCGCCATCTCCGCGCCTTAGCGCCCTCCTCCTCCGCGCGTTAGCGCCCTCCGCGCCCCTAGCCTGCGCCCCTAGCCCGTCGCCCAGGCCCACGCCCTAGCCCGTCGCCCAGGCGCCCGCCCTAGCCCGTCGCCCAGGCGCCCGCCCTAGCCCGTCGCCCAGGCGCCCGCCCTAGCCCGTCGCCCAGGCGCCCGCCCTAGCCCGTCGCCCAGGCGCCCACCCCAGCCCGTCGCCCAGGCGCCCGCCCCAGCCCGTCGCCCAGGCGCCCGCCCTAGCCCGTCGCCCAGGCGCCCGCCCTAGCCCGTCGCCCAGGCCTGCGCCCTAGCCCGTCGCCCAGGCGCCCGTCCTAGCCCGTCGCCCAGGCCTGCGCCCTAGCCCGTCGCCCAGGCGCCCGTCCTAGCCCGTCGCCCAGGCGCCCGTCCTAGCCCGTCGCCCAGGCGCCCTCCCTGGCTCGTCACCCCAGCCCCGCAGGCAGCGCGCCACGCGGGTAGCGCGCCCCGCGGGTAGCGCGCCCCGCAGGCAGCACACCCTGCAGGCAGCGCGCCCCGGGGTGCTTTAGTGCCAGAAAATAAATAAATAAATTAAACCCTAAAAAAAAAAAAAAAAAAAGGGGTTCACAGTGGGGGCCTGCGACTGTCGCCCGCGTTCCTGCTTGCCGGACGACCTGCACAGTTGCCTACATCCCGCAGCCGTCAGTACTGCAGCCCCTACTGTCGCACGTACTTTCCACTGCCAGTGGCTCTACTAGCGGCAGCCGACAGCCGCACTTACGGTCTCTAGCTCCGGCCGTTCCTACCTCCAGCCAGCCCTAGCTCGCCGCTTCTAGCTCCAGCCGTTCTCGCTCCAGCCGTTCTCGCTCCTCGCTCGTAGCTCAGTTTGCTCCGTGCTCCGGCCGTTCCTCGCCTAGTTTCACCTGGCGCTTCTAGCTCAGTTTGCTCCGTGCTCCAGCCGTTCCTCGCCTAGTTTCACCTGGCGCTCCTAGCTTAGTTCGCTCCGTGCTCCAGCAGTTACTCGCCTGGTTTCACCTGGCGCTCCTAGCTTAGTTCGCTCCGTGCTCCAGCAGTTACTCGCCTGGTTTCACCTTGCGCTCCTAGTTGTTCTCGTTTTTCACAGCAGCCTGTCGCTCCTGTCGCTCCTAGCCTGCCGCTCCTGCACCCCGCTAGCTTTTATCATGGAGTCCACTAGGGTTCTCCAGCAGCAGGGACAGCAGCAGCGGCCTTTTCAGCAGTGGCTTCCGCAGCGGCAGGGGCGCCCTCAGCAGCTGTGGCGCCCTCAGCAGCCATGGGGGCCTGGTGGTTCAGGTCGCGTTGGCTGCAGCAGCGGCCCAGCCAGCTGGGGGGGTCGTCGCGGTGGCCGCGACGTCGGCCCCTGCCAGTACCGGATCCTGACCGGCCCTGGTGCTGGCACTACCTGCTGGCGTCCTGACCACTCTGCACAGCACTGCTACAGCCGCCTCGACGACCTTTACCGTGAGCGTTTTGGGCCTGAGTCGGCTCCCCCGATCTGGCCCGGTCTGTTTCGTAGTGGTTTCCCTGTGTTTGATATGTCTATGGATGCTGTTTATTCTGTCACGTACGGATCTCTTGGCTTACGTGTACCTAGCTTAGGACCTTTGCCTGTTGCTAGTGTCGGTACTTGTGCTTTTAGTGTAGGTGCTTGTGTAGTCACTAGCCCAGCCGTGACGACTGCTGTTGCGTCGCTCTCCTTCACGCTGGACTCCGGCGCGTCTCAGTGTTTCTTCCGCGACCACACCACTGTCACACCTCTTTCGGCTCCAGTCCCAGTTGCCCTGGCTGATCCTACTTCAGGACCAGCAGTTGCTCGTAGCTCGACCACCCTCCCGTGCCCGGCTGTCCCCTCTGGTTTCCTCACTGGTCTCTACATCCCCTCGTTCTCTCGGAACTTGGTGGGTGTTGGATACCTTCAGGACCGGGGGATCACAGTCACTTTTCCTGCGCACAGGAGGACTGCGATCTGTACGGACTCTTCCACCGGGGCAGTTCTTGCCACGTTCACCAGAGAGCCCCACTCACGTCTCTTCGTCCTGCACACTCCGCCCCCGCAGGTAGCTGCGTCTGGTCAGGTTGCTTCGTCCCCCCCGGTAGCAGAGTCCGGTCAGGTGGCTGTGTCCAGTCCGGTCGCTGTGTCCAGTCCAGTCGCTGCGTCTTGCTCCTGTCGCTCTCTCGCCCACCGCACCGTCCTGTGGCACCACCGTCTTGGCCACCCGTCGATCCCTCGCCTTCGTGGCATGCTCAGTCAGGGACTAGTCACAGGTCTCCCACGCACCTTCCCGTCGCTCCCTCCCTCGCTTGCCCCTTGCTCTCCGTGCGTCGCCGGTCGCTTACGTGCCACTCCCCACTCCTCCTCCCTTCGTCCGGCCACCGCTCCCTTCGAGACTCTCCACTTGGACGTCTGGGGCCCTGCCCCGACGCAAGGGTCTGGGAGGGAGCGCTACTTTCTGGTGGTCGTCGACGACTTCTCCAGGTACACCACAGCGTTTCCTCTTGCGAAGAAGTCCGAGGTGACTGCTACGCTGATCAGGTGGCTTCTAGCCACTGAGGGCACTCGTGGTCGTCGAGTCAGTTGTCTTCACTCCGACCGTGGGGGCGAGTTTCGCTCCGGCATTCTCGGCGGAGCGAACAGGGCATCACCCAGTCCTGGACGCTGCCAGAGTCCCCACAGCAGAATGGGGTTGCTGAGCGCCGCATAGGCTTGGTCATGGACATCGCCCGCACGTCCATGATTCATGCCCGTGCGCCCCATTTTCTGTGGCCTCACGCGGTTCGCTACGCCGCACACCAGCTGAACCTCCAGCCGCGTGTCTCGCGGCCCGAGGCTTCACCGACCAGTCTCTAGACTGGATCCCCTGGTGTTGGGTCGGCCTTTCGAGTCTGGGGCTGCCTTGCACTTGTTCGCGACACCTCCGCGGACAAGCTCTCGGCACGCGCCGTCCCCTGTGTCTTCCTTGGTTTCCCAGTGGACTCTGCTGACTGGTCCTTTTACCACCCTCCCCTCCACCAGTTCCTAGATTCCCGTGACGTCCGGTTTGACGAGTCCGTGTCCTACTACACCCGGTACCCCTGTCGAGGTCTCCCGGTACCCCCTCCCCCTCTCTTCCTCGCACCCTCTCCTCCTCCTGCTCCCGCTCCTCCGGTACCCCCGCCCCCCCCTGGTCCTGCCCCGTCTGGTGTGTCCCACGCTACCCCTCTCCCCTCGGTCGCGCGTCAGGTAGCGTCTCCCTCCCCGCAGTCCTCCTCACAGTCCCCTCAGCAGCCTTCGGCACTTCCGCGACAGGTTACTGTGGACTCGGTTGGTGTTGGAGCTGGAGGTGCAGCCGCTGGCGGTGCTCGGTCTGGGGGTGCTCGGTCGCGGGGTACTGGAGCTGGAGGTGCTGGCGCAGGTGACGCTGGTTCTGCGGGTGCTGGAGTTGGGGGTGCTGGCA